AATCATTTAACTTTAATACTGCTTTATTAAAGGCAGTGCAAGCAAAACAAGCTGAAGTAATAGAATTTATTCTTAGAATAAAAGCATGTAGTAATGCCATAATCACTAAAAGCATGGAAAATATACTGACTGCATTACATTCTGAAGGAAATCATAATGACAGCATTATAGAAATACTTATTAGCAAGTATTCCAACAAATCGTGCAAAAAAGGATTCATACTAGCTGCTCAAAAGGGATTCATAGAAATAGTTTTAAAATTTCTTAAAAGGAAAATTAACCCAAATACTAAAAACAATGATGGCCAGACAGCAGTCATGTTGGCTAGTCTAAATGGTCATCAACAAGTGGTTGAGTTACTCCTTAATGAAAAGGCTGATCCTAACATTCAACACAATGATGGCAGGACAGCACTCATGTTAGCTAGTCAAAATGGTCATCAACAAGTGGTTGAGTTACTCTTTAATGAAAAGGCTGATCCTAACATTCAAGACAATGATGGCAGGACAGCACTCATGTTAGCTAGTCAAAATGGTCATCAACAAGTGGTTGAGTTACTCCTTAATGAAGAGGCTGATCCTAACATTCAAAAAAATAATGGCACAACAGCACTCATGGCAGCTAGTGAAAATGGTCATCAACAAGTGGTTGAGTTACTCCTTAATGAAAAGGCTGATCCTAACATTCAACACAATGATGGCAGGACAGCACTCATGCTAGCTAGTGAAAATGGTCATCAACAAGTGGTTGAGTTACTCCTTAATGAAAAGGCTGATCCTAACATTCAAGACAATGATGGCAGGACAGCACTCATGTTAGCTAGTCAAAATGGTCATCAACAAGTGGTTGAGTTACTCCTTAATGAAAAGGCTGATCCTAACATTCAACACAATGATGGCAGGACAGCACTCATGTTAGCTAGTCAAAATGGTCATCAACAAGTGGTTGAGTTACTCCTTAATGAAAAGGTTGATCCTAACATTCAAGACAGTGATGGCAGGACAGCACTCATGTTAGCTAGTCAAAATGGTCATCAACAAGTGGTTGAGTTACTCCTTAATGAAAAGGTTGATCCTAACATTCAAGACAGTGATGGCAGGACAGCACTCATGTTAGCTAGTCAAAATGGTCATCAACAAGTGGTTGAGTTACTCCTTAATGAAAAGGCTGATCCTAACATTAAAGACGATTATGGCTGGACAGCACTCATGCTAGCTAGTGAAAATGGTCATCAACAAGTGGTTGAGTTACTCCTTAATGAAAAGGCTGATCCTAACATTAAAGACGATTATGGCTGGACAGCACTCATGCTAGCTAGTGAAAATGGTCATCAACAAG